GACGTAAATTTTACATTGAGGTTCTGAAAAAAGAAATCACCAATTCACCAACATTCCAACTGACTCCATTTTCAGAAAACGACATCTGTAACAAACATAAACTTTTAGCTACCGCTTTACAAGCAGAACCAAATACAATGAAAGTCCCAACTATGTATTGGCTTCCGAAGCTACACAAAACACCTTACAAATATAGATTCATTTCGTCTTCAAGCCATTGTTCCACTACTAAATTGTCTATTCTTCTTACCAGCACACTTGGTACAATCAAAAACCTGATAATAAATTGTTCAAATAAGGCCTTCGAAAATAGTGGAATTAATTACTTTTGGAGTGTCAAGAACTCGTTGGAAGTACTTGATAAATTGCATGCATATATTGGTGATTTTGAATCTGTTCAAAGTTTTGATTTTTCTACCCTATATACCACATTGCCTCACATTCTCATTAAGAAAAAATTCACACACCTAATTAAATGGGCATTTAAAAAGTCAGAATGTGAATATATATGTTCAAACTCTTTTAGGTCATTTTTTAGTAGCAATAATCAAAAAAACTATGTCAATTGGACATGCTTTGATACTATATATGCCCTTGAATTTTTACTAGATAACATTTTTGTTCGCTTTGGAGATTCCGTATATCGTCAGGTTATCGGAATTCCAATGGGGACTAACTGTGCACCACTTATTGCGGACCTTTTTTTGTATTGCTATGAGTTACAATTTATGACAAAAATCAGTAAAGAACCATCGAAACAACATCTGATACACAAATTTAATAATACTTTTAGATATTTGGATGATATTTTGGCTCTCAATAATGACGACTTCAGTATGTATACTAAAGAAATTTATCCTGTTGAACTTACTTTAAATAAAGCTAATACTAACAATGACCACTGCCCTTTCCTCGATCTTGATATCTATATCATTAACGGAAAGCTTAATACTAAAATATATGATAAAAGAGATGATTTTTCATTTCCTATCGTTAATTATCCATTTTTAGATGGTGACGTTCCCTTGTCACCATCTTACGGTGTTTATATATCTCAACTTGTACGATTCGCTCGTGTATGTAACAATGTTTTAGATTTTAACGAGAGAAATTTATGTATTACTGAAAAATTATTACACCAGGGTTTTCGATATCACAAACTAGTCAAAACATTTACTAAATTTTATCATCGGTATAAGGACATCATTCGTAAATATAGCTCAACATGCAGACTTCTTATACGTTCAGGTATTTCACATCCAATTTTTTATGGAAATATTCTTTATAAAGCACAAAAATGTCAGTATTCACCTCTGAAACTAACAAAACCTTTAAATAAACTTATTAAGAAGGGATATAGTTACGATACTGTTGTCAGGTCATTAAAGATTTCATATTTTGGCGTTAATATTGATTCACTTATAGGGTCTTTGCATCGGCACTAAACACATTTATTTAAAAACCAGTTGTTGGCATGACACGGGTTATGTTCTTCTCATATATGTTATGATGGTATGATACTAAACCCCTAACGGGAAGGATTGTGCCTGATATTCATATGATGAAGACATAATCTTTCAATCAGTTTAATTGAAGTCTGGAGCTGGCATGTCAGTTAACTGCTAGTAGTCTGTTGTTATTTATGTATTATTGTCATTTTGTTTATTTTCTTTGGTTACATCTTCTGACATCAGAGTCGGACTTCTCTTGAACTGAATTTTAATGTGCGTATTGTTATGCGTTTACTTTTCTACATTGGCTAGAGGTATAGGGGGAGGGTTGAGATCTCATAAACATGTTTAACCCCGCCGCATTTTTGCGCCTGTCCCAGGTCAGGAGCCTCTAGCCTTTGTTAGTCTTGTATTATTTTTAATTTTAGTTTCTTGTGTACAATTTGGAGTTTAGTATGGCGTTCATTATCACTGAACTAGTATATATATTTGTTTAGGGGCCAGCTGAAGGACGCCTCCGGGTGCGGGAATTTCTCGCTGCATTGAAGACCTGTTGGTGGCCTTCTGCTGTTGTCTGTTCTGTGGTCGGGTTGTTGTCTCTTTGACACATTCCCCATTTCCATTCTCAATTTTATAGATGCTTATTGTTACGTCATTTGGTCTCTGCTGAATGCAACAGTTTACGCATAATGTACACCTACATTTAATAAATATAGATTGTATCAAATCCCCGTTGAGGACTATATTGATCAACTCAAAATATTTAAATTTCTAAGCTCTGTAAAATGATAGGTCTAATGAGCATTTAATCATTTTATAAAATGAAAATTTGAATTTCCAGATTTCGTAGGGTTAATCGAATGTACCAAATTGGTAAAAACAGATCAAGATTCAAACGGAATCGCAATTGATGGAATTGATCTAGACTCTTGACTCTTATCACAGGGAAAACTAAAATTGTAGAAACACAGAAAATTATCACTCACGGAAGAAATTACAAATGAATTTAATTATTTCAACTGATTATAGTTTATATCCGATAAGTGTAATATCCTGAAGTCAATAACTTTAATATAAATGAAAGGATGCTCTCCATTGTTAAATTTCCTGAATATTAAAGCATACTTCGTCCTAATTAGATTTCTGGTGTCGAGAACATTCATAATACTTCCAGAGAACATTAAACATAATCGGCAACACAAATAACGAATCACATCTTTCCAAAAAGCAGTTAAACAATTTCTTGCACAACTGTATAATTGAAACACAACCATGAAATTAATCCTTACAGACAAAGTTTTGTTTTAATAACGACCAAGGAATTTCACCAAACACGACTAAAACCAAAAGTCGGAGATTATACGCAATTTCAAATTGGTCATTTGATATAGATGAAGATGATGATGTTTGCTGTTAAAAGACCAGTGGTAATGAAAGCAGTGCGTTTCTTTTTGTTCTTGAGTTTACAAATTATTTGACAATTTACAATATTGTTCTGGTGAATTATATCTTAAAGCATATACCTAATCAAAATAGATAATTATATTTCTTCGAATGAGATAGATTTGAAGCCAATGTTGAAGTTTTTATTTAATGAAAAAGTTGCTTTAAAGGTAATGCTACGCTTAACTCTTTTTTTTTATACTCATTGTTGCCAATTCCTTTAAAAACACGAATTTCTTTATATACGCAATTGTAGTGCGTAGGGTTATGCTAATTCATGCTAGGATGTTATCCCGTATAAAGGTGATTATTGCTGAGGATAATTGCCATCACAGAGTGAATATAGCCATTGAAAAACAAATTTCATAGAAAGTTTCGATCTCTTGAGAGATTCAACTCAATATAAATATTGCCTTTACTACCTTGATATTGCTTATGTAAGTGGTTAAACCAAATAACTTATATTGCTTAAGTGTTGTGTCAGGTACTGTGCCTTGACTATCCAGTGTTATTTTGGTATAAAGTGTACATAATACCTTTGCTGATTTATAAACACTCCTCGAAGAAACCAAGCTTATAATTTTGAATGGAAGAAGCGCTTTTGATCTACAGAAAATTTACCAGAGGCACATGAATCAAAACAGTTTAAAACCACATCAACTGCGAAGTAGCATTAAAATAAACAAAAAAGGTTTTCCCAATCTTTGGAATGCATATATTAATATTAATTAAAGTAAATGTAAGAATGTCTGTTTATGCATCTATATAAAAGGAGATGTGGTATGGATGTCAATAAGACAACTTTCCACCAAGGTTCAAATGAAGTGGATTTAATCAATTATGGAAAACCGTATGGCCTTCGACAATGAGAAAAACCCATCCATATTGTCGGCTATAAAAGGCCCAACATGAAAAATTGTAAACAATTCAAACGAGAAAACTAACGGCCTTATTAATAACAAAATAATTTACGAAAAACATATGTGACCAACATGAACCAACGACAACTACTAAACTACAGGCTTCTGACTTGGGACAGGCACATACATAGTAATTTGTCATACTATAGTTTTTAATTTCTTTTGAAATTTTTTTCTACCAATACTTTAGGGGACAGTTGAAGCCCACCTCCGGGTGTGATATTTTTCGCTGCGTTGAATACCCATTGGTGGCCTTGGGCTGTTTATTGCTCTTTAGTCAGGTTGTTGCCTCTTTGACACATTCCCCATTTCCATTCTCAATTCTATTTGTTTTTCATTATAGAACCAAGTTCCCATCCGCTGAAACTAAGCTTTTCCTGGAATTTGGTTTTGCGTGTATTTCTCAACCTTCAGACCTTTGACTTGTCTTCTTTGCGATTTAGTTTGACACCTGTCTACTTTTGAAGACTGTTTGTTTTCCATTCTTTGGATGTGTTTGGGCTTTTGATTTTGCCATTTTATAAGGGACTTTCCGTTTGGATTTTCCTTGAAGTTCGGTATTTTTGTTATTTTACTTTTGACCTCTAGAAGTCTTTTGGTGTTTTTTTGTGTATTTGCGTACATTTAGTTGTCTCATTGACGTAATCCCCAAATCTACTTTTATTCTTATTTCGGGATTTAGAGCATCAATGCAAAACAATACATTGTTTCAATCTTAAATATAACAATCCGGTTTATTTCATGGATTATCCTCTCTTTGCGCATTGCGTTTATACATGGTTGTGTGTAAGGAACATACATGTTTAAGGTCTTGCCAATTAACATTAAGCAAACAACTATCATTCAATCATTGTTAAGGTAGTGTCAAACTCTTATTAATTTTACAAAATGTCTTTAATAGGTCAGCTTAATATTCACGATACATTTTTTTACTAAACTAATGTAAATATAAGGAGATTGTATATCCAAATTTAATTTCAAATATATGTTTTCCAGCCAAAATTCATACTTGGATCAATGAAATAATGATGATTTTTACAACAATGAATACGATATGTTATGCGAACAATTATTTTTCAAATTTCTTTATATCTTTGCCCATTTTTGTCAACTTTAATTTGAATTAGAATTATTATCACCAACAATACTTAGTATTTAGTTCGAAACTCTGATTGATAAAACCATATTTGAAAACACTTTAATTAACTATCAATCTTTCATTACATAACTACATAATACTGTACATTGATTAAACAGGAAACATTTACCTTCTCCATACACATTTTTCTGTATAATTCCATTACAAAGTACAAGCAAAACTAATCCAAAGCAATCCATACTATTCATTTGATCGAATGAATGTAATTTCTATAAGGAAATGACTAACATTTCAAAAATGAATAAAACTAACATTAATATGATGATTTATTTAAATTAAAATTGCATGAGTTTCATACAGTATACGAAAAATCCAATAGATTCCTGGATATTTAAAGCTCGCTCAACTTGTCCAAAGAAACATGAGTCGAGTTTACAGAGATCAGTGTTACGCATTTTAAACTCACATTGTCCAAAGGCCCAGCGTGAACTATCACTTGGCGTCCGTCGTCTGTCGTCGTCCGTTAATCTTAAAAAAATGTTATCATCTGACTGGGCCAAATAGAAACAAATTTGGCCACACTCATCATTCGGGTATCGTTTAAAACATAAACGGTGAACTAGATTCATATCAAGTCCGGCGGAGCTAAAACAGAACAAAAGTGCAAAATGCAAGTATTGCCTATTATCTTGTAAACCGTTATAGATAAAGAAACATCTTACAGAGGCAGAAATGTTCAGAATGATGAGATTTGCATACACTGTATTTGGACCAGACGATAACTTATAATTATTGTGCTTAATGGACGATTTTAACTAAATTAATTTGTGTTTACTTATTATTTTGAAACAACAAAAGATAGAGATAAAAGGAGTAGGCCCGGTAAGACCTCTTTTTGGCCCCAAAATATAGCAGTTTTACAAAATTGTTAAAATGTAAACTTTTAGTTATTTATTGGAAAGAAGAATGCGTCTGCTACGTAAATATGGGCTGTTTTTGAAAATACAATGCCCATATATCGGGAACTAGCATCATTAATTCGTGCAAAGTTACTGAAATCTTCACAATTTTAACATTTTAGTTAAATTTTAGACGGTTTTCGTCTTAAATGAAAGTGGCCGCATTTGTGTTCATTCTTAATATTGAAATGTAAGTTGTATTTGATGATAATACATAACATATATAAAGGTTGAGGATGAACACGGATGCGGCCATTTTCATTTTTGACAAAAACCATCTGAAAAGTGACATTTTTTGGCATATTTGATAGATTTTTCATATTTAAGCTAGAATCGGAGCGTTTTTAATGACTTAATCAGTTAAAATCTTTCACATGAACTAATTGAATCAACTGAAATAGACACTTAAGTGTTTAAAAAGTGTCAAAAATCTTTCGTCAGATGAACCTGAAATTTGAGGCCAAAATCGGCCCTTACCGGACCTACTCCTTTAGATATCGACAGTATTCAGGTAGACAATATCTATGAATAAGCTAACAATGCTGAAATTATTTATTAATTATTTATCGCCCTTAAATTACGATTTATACCAGTTTTGTGTTTCTGTCAATTATCATAAAAACTATAATAGATAGCAAAACTATAATATTAAAAATCATCAGCAAGACAAGATTTACTAATAGGTTTTTTTCAGTGCTGAACTCGTCAGTCGACTCCTTTTAAGAGTTATTGCCATTACTCTTTTTTTCGATTTTGCCTATTGCTTTGAAAACTCCCTAAATATAGAGAAACTTTGAATAGAAAGACTTGATGTGTTAATACGACCTCACATCTAAAATCATCAGTCAACTACTTCCAGGAAGTAATGCCTATGAATGAGGAATTTTACCAGTATTGTGCATTTTGGGCAAACACTATTAATAGTAGCTCAAGAGAACTTTCAAGCAGCAATTCATGAATAATATTCTAGTCTTTAATGTATGATAGTGTCCATTGTTAAAGATGGCCATCAATCCATGGCCATGTGAGCGTTACCGGCTCTCTAGAGCCTCTAGTTTAAATAGTTTTCCTTGAATTCAATGAACAGTAAATATGAAACTGACAACAAATCGTTATTTCAAAACGATCTAAAATATTTCATGGTCATTTAACATTAAATACATATTGCATCTGTCATGACTGTAATTCTAAGATTTCCAAAATAACTATAATACATTGAAATGATTCTGATAACTATATTATCCTGGAAATAAAAAGAAAATACATTTGTGTCAAAAATCGTTTTTCCACTCATACATGTCATACATGAAGTGTAATAGATTCCTGGAAATTTTGTAGTGTCACATAGGGAGAAATGACTACGTTATCACTAGGCTAATTAACATTTGATATATAAAAACATCCACCTGTCTAGACTTTTACAATCATTTACAAAAAAAAGTGTATGTTCTTATGTATTATAGTTCAAAACGTTTTATTTCTATGATCAAAAACCAATATAGTCCACGAGAATACGTCAAATTCAATTAGGATATCCGCTACGAATTATTTTTGAAGTGATTTTCATCATTGTGACAAGTAACGTTGAACTTCTTCATCTGAGACTTCGTCAATGCGATAAGGGAATTCAGGCCATTTCTTAAATTTTACCAAATCTTTTGAATATTTATCAAAGAAATTGACCTTATCTTTTGATATTGCTAAAAAGTCACATTGCTGATACACAAGTATTACTCCCCAACTGTGACCACAAATATTTCCAAATACTCTTTCCGTTTTCTTTATTGTGTCAAATTTTGTTATCTTTTTAAGAGGTTCGCGTCTTATTCTTGTCAAAATTGTCTTGTCATATACTATAAAGATTTTCCTTTTTATATGTCTGATGAATTGACCATCAGTTACTGGTTTTCCGCAGAACTTGCAGTTAACTGTAAAAGCTCCTATGGTTTTACTGTCCGCTTGACGCTGTTGGAGTAGTCGTCCCTGAACTTCGGACGCATATATCCCTCGTTCTGCTATTGCAATATGTGCAGTAAGGTCAAGGTCGATCACTTGTTCAATTGCATTTTTCATGTAGTATTGCCTTAATATATTTTTTGTTTCCCTTTCAAAATCTTCTGAAGACGCCAGTATTACCTCCCTTCCTCCTTTGTCTCTAATTCGTCCTAGAAATAGAATAACAAAGAAATGTATTATGTATTATACATATTATGATATACATCAACAAGACATATGAAACAATAAAGATTACTTTCGATCATTTCTATATTTTCAATCATGATTTCAAAACATCACTAAGTAAAGCCTCCAAACATCATACGCTACTGATAAGTGCTGCTATTTTAATATCAATTAGAATACAACTTGCAACTTACATTACCCTTTTTTGATTTATTATTGCTGACATATATGATATAGCGTACGAGGAACTAGCCTTTGATAAGTGTTCGAGAGAGGCGAACGATACCAAAGGGACATACAAAAGTTTTACCTGGACTTCGAGAAAAATGTTCAAAATAATTTTGATACTAAGATGCAAAAAAATGTTTCTTTTTACCAAAATCTACCGTTGATGTTTAAGAAGTATTGCACTAAAAATAATAATAACACGTAATTTTCGGTTGGAGTGTTTTCGAAGAGCTTTCTTTAAACATCTTCATGAGCAACTGTCAAACCAAGATGTTTGATATACAAGAATGTATGAATACATTAACATACACGAATCTATCTGACCAAAATTGACCTTTACAGAATAACGCACTCGATTTAAGGTCACCGTAAAAACAATTTGTAAATTAAATCAACAGAAAAATTTAAGAATGATATCGTCAGTAACTGGCAGTGCACAAGCAGGGGGTATCGACCCATTGCTTAAACTTGGTAAACTCACTTGAAACAGTCCAAACTTCTGATTGCAAGCCTTTATTAAACATAAGTGAGCAGTTAATAACATATTAACTGCTCAATAAAACAGTGATGTATTTACATTATAAAAGCTTGATCAGCTTGTGCATGTTACCTAGTTGATAGTTCTCTCTTACATTTTATTTTCAAGCATTGTCATTATTACCTCTCATTTGATAGCTACTAATTTCATCTACTCTGAATTTGTATCTAATCATCAAATTGCATTGTGGAATATCAAGCCCTTCGCATGCAACAGAAGTTGCAACGATGCACAAATGTTCTCCTTCTCTAAATTTTCCCATAACCTCAAGTTGTTCATCAATATGTAGACCTGAAAGTCAACAATATTTGTTAGAGCTCCTTTGTTAGGCAACAACACAAATATAAATCAGCAGGATACAATGTGTCTTTGGGTTCTTTGGAGTAACTTTTTGTAAATCAACATTTTAATCATATACATCGATAAATTGACATCGAGTGTTTGTTAAGAAAAAAAATTTAACGACAAAAGGGATGTCTTCAGCTTCCCAATATGAATTTTCCATTTCTATGTCATATCCATTCCAGCGACACCTGCATATTAGTTATTTGTTTCCAAGTAGATACCAGATTCGAGAGCTTGTGTCTTCTATAATGATTTACTTGATACGGGGTTGCAGCTAACATAGAAGCTTTCAATCAAGGGTCATAAGTGGTATACTCAAAGTCATCCCTTCGGAAATTTAACTGATACCATCACGGATTGATTGACCGATGATGAACCGAGCAGATGAACCCAGTTATTTAACAGACGAGCATACCGGTGCCTTATGAACAAAGGCTATAAAACATGTGTTTGTTTTGAGCGTGTTTGCACACTCCTTTATGAAGTCCGTGTAAATGCACATGCGTCACGCATCAATAGAATATGTAAACGCCATACAAGTGTTATACGAATGTATGTCACTACTAAGAAATTGATTATCATGAAAAAGGGTAAAGAATCCCAATAACAGATTAGGATTTTTTAAATAATTCGAAATGTTATCACTTATAGAACATGTACATGATGTATTTTATTCGTAAAACATATCAATCTTTTGACTGAACAGATTTAAAAATTTATTGATTCTGATAAAGAGTCCAATTTCCAACTAAGGGTTTTGAAAATACGATGTTTCGCATCATTAGCATGGTGATAAGCAAGCAACTGTCTAAGCAATTCATTGTGTACGAGGTCTTTAAATTTAACATGACCAGTATAAATACATTTGTATAAGACTATGAACAAGAGCAGCCAGATGGTTTGGAATAAACACCTCTTAGTAAAGATAAATGAAATTGTATTCGTCTTATTTTTTTCTGTATGTTTAATGAACAGAAGTATTGTCTGCACCATCAAAAACTCACAAGTTAAAGCAATATTTTGAAAATTCAATATCTTTTAAGTACAACTTCATACAAAAAAATACTCCTCATCCTAAAAATTTAAAAACTATTTTATGACATGATCGCATTATATAAAATGTTAACTAGCATGCAAGCACATTATTTAAAAAAAAATATAGTTACCTGCTTTATCCTTTGATTTTGTTCCCCCGGTCAAATGGGTAGCTTTCAGACACTCTGGTAGTCTTTTTGCTAAGGCTTTTGCAGATGCTCTTGTTTTAACGAATACCAGGAATCTTGAATCCTCATTTAATAATTCATATTCCTGCAGAAGTGTTTTTATTATTTCATTAACGTCTGGATTACTTTCAACGTCGTGCCTTATCTCCCGTAGTCGTGTTGTCACATCTGCAATATGACCAAAGGTCATTACTTATAATTATTTAAAGTTTGTAATTAATCTTATTATACTTACTGAAATGGGTGTGTTTAGAATTACAATAGGAATATAGTGTATGCAAACATTTTAAAAATATAAAATTAGTTTGAAACTGAAGCATGTGAAGATAGAAATGTAATGTCGTATAATGTTCAAGACAGTATAACATATTTTTATTTCAATTAGAAATGGATACTGCTACAGAAACAAGGTTAAAGAATCGTTTGATATTTACCAAAACATTTAGAAAGATACCTTTACTTGTACAGGCTTTATATAAAACCAGGTTTAATCCAACATTTTCTTTTATGTACATAGTCAGAAATATGACAGTTATTTGCCATTCGTTCTGTTGATTGATATAGTCGACCGTTGGATTATGTCATGTTTTATTGAATGGTCCCTTTTTGAATTTACCTTAAGTTCAGTATTTTTTTCAATACTTTTTTAAGCTATTTGTATGTCAAATATTCCGACAAACATTTTTTCGATTTGCAATATGACACGATTATTTTGAAAAGAATCAATATAATTTGTGTCAGATATTAAAAAAAAAAATTTGGAGTTTACCTTTTAGTGCTTCTATAATTTCTCTTTCTTGTATAGTGCTTGCCTGTTGGCTTTCATATGAGAATAGTCCATATGCATCGGTAAGCAATTCAGTAACATTTTCAATTTCAAGTAATGAATTCATTTCCAGACATTCTACGTATAACTGCAATATAAGTTTAAATGAAAATTTGTGATAATGAACATTATTCATTTTCACTGCATTTTGAGTTTATTTTTATCTGAACTATATTCTTTGTCGATTTAGGATACTCATCAATATTAGACAGGAATGGGTTAAAGAAAAGTTCTAGGTTATGAATTTATCTTATCAATCGTCCACAAATTACTTGACCTGCAAAAACTGACATAAATGCGCGATTTTATTTTTTAGGCTGATTGAACAACTGTACAATAATCTTATCATTTTGAGGTCAATGCTAAACTTGTGCTAATTTTCAAAATGTTTTGGTAGTAGTGGCGAATAAAAGGTCAATGTATTTTCATGTATTTCTATATACTTGTCATGTTGCATTTGCCTAGGTAATGTATTTTCCTCAGTAATTTTATTTTATTTTTGTAGATGCAGCTGGTTTGATATCTTGCAAAATTAATGATGTGTTGTACATTGCGTTGATAGCACAAACAGTTAGAATAAAAATATATAGACAAAAGAGAATCATTGAAAGGATACATTATGTATGGATATCGGATAATCCTTTATCGAGCAGGAATTGCTTCTCAATCCGAACAGCCTGATTTCACCACTGGTTGTTGTTGAGGTTCTTGTTGCCCAATATTTAGTTTTCTGTATATTTTTACTCAGTCTGTCTTCGACTTACTGCTTGTCACTTTATAGTTTCTGACCTTTTTACTTGTATTAAGAATTTGCTGAACAGTCAAGCGTATTTAAAATATTAGCATACCTCTAAATGCCTTAGGCAAATATGTATGAGACGGGGCACATCTGCGTCTTTTAACATTACGCTCTCTGTTTTTCTCTTTGTTTCACTAATCCATTGTACATATCTTGTTCCTCTTTTATCAAATGGTGGACTTTCTAGGGCAGATAGCAGAGTTTTTGTTTCGAAGCTGTCTTGCATTAGAAATAAAGTAACTGAAATTTTAAATCAACGTAACATGATTAAACAAAATAACAAAAGCTTATCATTATACATGTTATAGTCTTATAAAAGAGAGGGGAAAGATACCAAAGGGAAATTCAAACTCGAAAAGTCGAAAATAATTTGACAACCCTCTGGCAAAAAAAAAGAAGAAAAAGACAAACAGACAAACAACAGAACATTAAACACAACATAGAAAATTAAAGACTAAGCAACACGAACCGCACCAAAAACTGAGGGTGATCTCATTTGCTCCGGAAGGGTAAGAAGATCCTGCTCAACATTAGACACCCGTCGTGTTGCCCATATTAGTACAGTCCCAGTGATAAGTCTGATGTGGTAGGTCACATTCGGGGAAATAGGGACAGGATTGTAGTAACGACAATTAAAACATATCCGTTGTCATCTATGAAACTGATATTCAGTAATGGTAAACCAACTCGTGATGGCTTCCGTAAAATTTAAGAAGTGATGATTTCAACTTCAGCACTTGAAACTCTTGGTTTAATAGCTGTCTTGTGAGCAGAAACACTCTATAAAGGAAATCATGGTTAGAAAAAACAAGCCCTGAAATATCGAAGCATTTGGGAAATATATACTCCGTATGCAGGTGCTGCTGGAATGTTGCTATATAGAAATGTAAAGTTCACAATTTGGAAGCTGAAATCATCTCTTTTGTCGTAGAATTATGTTCTCAATTTCCTTGTCAATTTCTTGATACAAGTCAAGATATGAGGCAGACTTAAATGTATCTGATGTATCCTTTATCTCAAGTTCGATGGGATAGATGTATTCAACATAGTCACCAAAATTTGAATTGTTTAGGGAGAGAACATCATCTATATAACGGAAACTTGAGTTAAAGGGTACTGCTAACTTCTTTTCTTTAATCCTAGAAAGTTCCTATATGACGTCAGCCTCATATGAACAAAGAAAAAAGACGGCAAGAAAAGTAGCACAGTTGGTTCCCATGTGAAATTTCGATTAATTGTTGAAAAACACATCCCCCGAACGTAAAAAATATGTTAAATCAAAAAACTCAATAATGTCAGTTTCAGAGAATTTAAATCAAATATCTTGATAGTGTCAGTTTCAGAGAATTTTTTGTTTGAGTAAGAGTGATTTTTTACAGAGTACGATTTATCCCTCCCTACGTTGACAATCCTTTTTAATGAAACAAAGCAGGACCAACTCTTCCAATATGGACTATTTGTGTAAAAAGTAGAAAAGTCAAATATTTTGATACTATTGCAAAATGAAAGAGTCTTAGATTGTATGTACTCTAAAAGATCTTTGGAATTTTTTAGTATGCACATCTGATTCATGCCACCTCTAGAATAGGCAGTTTCACAATAACTTTGAAACCCGGTTTTGATTGCTAATATATGATATTAATGATTTAAGAAGAGGTGTCGTCATGTTCGTGGAGCACTTGGAAGACGCAGCACTATAACGTTATTTATAAGAATACTTATGTACTTATGTACTTTACCAATACAGTGATGGAAGATACAGTTCCATAAATTATACTGGGTATACAATGTGTATATCTATTTTATTTACTTTTTGAATAAAAGAACAATTCGAATTACTTGGTATTCTTCTGTTATTTTTGCGTACTATGATTACAGCAAAGTTGTTAACATGCATTTCCTTTTATAAGACAATATATGAACTGAACTACGATGCATTACAAAGCCCTTTAAACATGTCAGAGTAGTAGTTACTCTACAACATGTACAATTACCTTTTCTGTTAGTAAATACACTTTCAACATTTTTTATGGCTTTAAAAAGAATGCCTTCTACAGGATCATGCTGCCTTTCCGTTGAACGAATTTTTACTACAATAAAATAAAACAAACAAATGATAATTTTAATAATAATATCAAATGAACTTTCAAAAATATCTATTGTAGTTATTCCCAAAAAAATTCAAAAAGAAAAAAATAACTTAGTTTTTCAAAGTTCTATATTCAATGCTTTCGTACCAAAAAAAGTAAAATCACAAAAATACTGAACTCCGAGGAAAATTCAATCGGAAAGTCCCTAATCACAACAACTGTCATATTCCTGACTTGGTACAGGCATTTTCAAATGTAGAAAATGGTGGATTGAACCTGGTTTTATAGCGCTAAACCTCTCACTTGTACGACAGTCTTATCAAATTCCGTTATATCTACAACAATGCGTGAACAAAACAGACATTATAAATAAAATAGTCAAAATATGGGTACAGCAGTCATCACTGTGTTACAATATCAAAACAAACAATTATTTACAAAAAAAGCACAAAAGCATCTATCAAATTACAAACCACATTCATTGCTTCGCGTGTCTGACGTCAGAAAATGTGAACGTCACATAAGAAAAAAGTTTGTCATTCAATGTTTATTCAAAACAATTTTGTAATTTCACATGGGGAATGTTGGTATACAGGTAACATTGTCCAGAAGTTCTTTAGAATTTTTAAGAATCCACATATGGTAAATACCACTACGCGAGTAAAATAAATTTGTCGTTTGTCGTTCAAAGTATTTTCAAATTTATAATAGAACAATAACATAATGACATATAATAGAACAATAACATAATGACGGGATCTTTTAAAGTACAGAGTCACGTTATAAGAACCACAGAAACACAAAAAGTCGCATATACAAAACACACCAGCAAAAAAAAAATTTCATGTTTCACTATTATTTCTTTATAGTACGTTTTATTTAACGCATATACTTTATTGTGTTCCATGTTTTTGCTGTTCAGTGGTCGAACTTTTTTAAAAGGTAATGGGTCAAACTATTGCACAATATTAATGTTTGTCATTTCGAATGATATTAATTTCATAACTGTATGATGATGTGGATAAAAAAATGTCGTTTCCGAAACAGAAACAACATATTGTAGACATTATCACAATACAAAAATGAAATATTAGCACATAATTAAGTAAGACCTTTTGTTGGGGTTGATGAATAATTTAACAGTTCTTGTTCATATTTTCGGACAACTGACAGCTTTGATACATCCATATTTGCCATCAAGCATTTCAAATGTTGGACAGCAGAAAATCCGTCGTCTGCCTTGTTCGTTCCTGGCGAAGCAGTCAGACCTAAAACCTGAAATGTTGAGTTTAAGACATACAGTCAGAGAGTTAACTGTTTATATCAGTTATGTGTTTGAAATTCAATAATGTATTTTTTTAAATTGTTTTAAAGCAATCTTTGGGGGAAATTCAATAATGCGTGTCTCTTAAAAGATTGGACTTCCGAGAGAAGAACAATATAGTATTGTATGTTAATTTTCACGTACTTTGTATATTTCATGTATTTCTCGGTGAAGTATTTTCTGCATTTTATTGTTGAAAACCACATTATGTAAACTACATTTTTGGGAAGTATCGAAAACATATTGATTTTCATACAAACTCGTGTTTACCTTTAGCATGTTAAGCATGTTACGTTCATATCCTTTTTCGATTTTGATTATACGTTCTTTTGATATCAATTTGTAAATCCACGTTACTGGTCGAATCTAAATTAGTAATAGCTTGAGATCAAAAAAGAAGAAAGTGTACCAACATTGCATGTTCATGTGCCTTTCGGGAACCTATACGGTGTTTGTTTTTTTTTCTTTTAATTATTTTAATGTTTTTGGGTATGACCACATTGTATACCATCTTACCTATAGTTGAAGACCTATGCATTAACGTAAACCCAACATTTCATATATTACAAATTGCCCATATTTCTTTTATTGGAAATGTATATGTGGAAAAGCGTGCTCTTGAATAAAGTGAGTTAATTTAGTTTAACATTGTAATCCTGTACACGGTCTTATCATACTTTTTGAACAAGTTGCCCCCTCCAACAATGATTTTATTATTTTTAACATACTTTTATTGCATTTCATTTTTCATTAGTGTCTCCTTAATAATTACTTCTGTAATGATACCGCCTCGAAAATACTTGTGTATAATGATCTCAATTAACAAACCTGCGGTGTCATGCTGGACTCCGATTCAAATTTGTGTCTCCTGTAATAATTCATGATTTCGTTGAATGGGTTTCGTCGTACCACATGATGACATTCGTCCAAAACAATAAGTGTGAAAACATCCATCGAGATTTTATTCTTTGACTTTTCATCCAGGTGATTACAAAGAGATTTAGGAGTACAGAAGAATAAAGTTACACGTTGAACTATGTTAGGAAAGGGTTCACATTCACCTTCTTCACTTGCATCCCATTTATAGATTTTTCCCTGAACAAAATAATATTATGTTTTAGTAATTATGATATTCAATAAACGGATAAACACGTTGTATCATTTTTTTTCTTCAATATTTTATTACAAAAAAAATCTATTTTATAGCTGCAAATATTCTTACGATGCAAAATCGCAATTGTATATCTTGCTAATATTCCTTATCTGATAAAAGAACTATTATCAGTAGGTTGTTTTATTCATAGCCTTCTATACGTTCTGCAAACTTTACAGAAATTGTATTTTTAGTGCTCTTCCATCATGTCGACTTCATAATAGATTTAGATCTTACTGCTTTGATGCGAGTGCCACTAGTGGTTATTATGTATACGAAACGTGTCTGGTGTATTAAATCTTGTAGTTTTACAATCCATTAGTGTATCCATTTGATTGTGCGCGTTTGTCACTTGGGAGGATCACCAGCATGGTGGTCAGTGTTCCTGTGCTGACATGAAATATCATTAATACGATAGCTTTGCTTAGAATTAATGTAAATGAATAGATTCAATCATTTAGAATACTAAGGTTCTTCTACATCCAGGACGTTTTAATTTTCCATGATCTTAAACTTCATAATTAAAATGTCCTTCCAACTGCTTTAATTCGAGCCAGTAATTAATCTCTTGTACACGAAACGTGCGTCTTTCGTATTTGATTCAGTATGGTAACTTTGGGATGTTTTTGTTCATTTTTCATTTTATGCTTAAATGTATTATTTTTAATAAAACAAAGCACTTCTTAAATCAATAATAGATACCTGGAAATTTAAGTCTTTAAAAACTTTACATGCTCTGCTGTACTGCTGTTCTAACAAAACATTGGTTTTGTTTATGAAAACGACTTTACCTTTAATTAAAAAATATAATGTTTTAATGGAACAAGGCTGTAAGCGTTCATTTTTATCAAACAATGAGACTCTTATTTCATGTTCAATGTCAATTTTAATACTATGCACGTTATTTTGTTGTTGATGAATTAATTAAGGTATCTTACTTTCTGGGTACTTGATCAGATGGTCTTCAATTATATGATATGCCACATACGTCTTTCCTGCATTTGTTCCGACACATATGATAGTGTTTTGACCTGTCACAGCTATCTCAGCAAGCTCTTCCTGATACTTTCGCAGTTTGATTAAACTTGGCCTCCTTTCTATTGATCAAAAGAAAACACAGCATAATTTAAATATCTATTGCAGAGCAACATTAGCAGAAAAGTATCTTAAAAACACAAAACCAGTCATTATCATATCCTTTTGTGTTTTTGTTTTATCTGTGAGAAATTTTGTGTCCTTGTTTTGTTTGTAATCGATATTTCAATATATGATGGTATTTACTATATATATTTATAAAAAAAAACATAATTTTTCTACATTTTTCCTACCACGTGATTTATATTCTGAGTTAAAACATCATGTCATTTCAGTCAATCACATCATTAACATTTGTGCTAATTTGAACACGTGTCTTTCAGAGAACCGGTTATTTGAAAATGAGGCTTGCTGTATTATGATATGAACATCATTTTCTAATATCCGAATGTCCTTAGTACCATTGACCGTTTTAAATAGGAACCAATAATGTGTACGTATTCAAAACTTACTTGATTGGGTATATAATGTAGCTTGTTTTTGTAATTGAAACTCATAAACAAAATATCAATCTTCTGATATCAGTTTTTTTTTAATGTTCAATCTATATGCTGTTAGGCGTCAAACGGTAGATATTTAATGCAATATTTTAAATATTTATCCAAAGAAGGTTCCAAGAGTGACCCTATCTAATAGCTCCTTAATATGTTTAATGAAGGTGATTTTTGTTCTTTTCAGGATTTTTCCCACAACAGATTACGACACGAGCGTTGGTGAATATTACCACTCAAAAAACATAGTTCTGATTCGCAAGCTTTTGCAATATAAAATATCACTCATGTCAACTATCATCAATATAAATGCGATACTCATAATGCAATTACGTGATCATCACCTGTGATAGATAGGACACAGCTACTTGTTTTATTCCCAAGTTTTAGTGTATATGTGCCACTATCTTCTTCGGTAGATTCTGAAATTAAAAGCTTGTAGACCTGGACATGTATACCATCGATTATATCACTTAAGCATTCCTGTCTGTTTTTTCGGTCGTATAAAATTTCTTCGTCATTCTTCAACCATTCTGCTATACACTTTGATCCACTAACAATACATTGTAGTATCACTGTCTTGCCTTCAAAACATGTTGTCTCTTTCAGAGCTTTAATGAATACAGCTGCAAAAGATAACAATAGTGTGGAACAAATTGATTCCACAAAATTTTTGAAATATACTGTGTAATCTTAATATTTAAAAAAAACTTCATGCAAAGTTAGCCTAAGACGGCTGTGACTGTGACTGTTCTGTTAAGGCAATCTCAACTTTATGCTGAATTGGTTGGTTTATGCATTTTGCCGTTTTCTTTCTTTTTTCATTTCTTTTCTTGTTGCGGAGTCTTATTTAACTTTTGGTCTAGAGGGTACCCGATGAAGGTTAATCCAGCAACACGCGTCATACTGAACTTTTTTACTATCAATAGATGGACCTCGTTGCTTTCTGACTATCAGTCTCATACGTTATCATCCGTCCGGTTGTCGATAAGTCCATATATCATTACCAAAAATATAAGCTTTGGTATAAAGTGGTAAGGTTTTAAATTTCGATTGTTATATTTCGAACGAGTGAATTCGCATGGTGAATGATGTATGCTTAGCATGTGACGCTGTCGCGCAGCTTTTAGAGTTCATATGATTCCCTCTGTTTTTGATCTACCTTGATTTATCTTTTCTTATTTGATTGGTTCATTTGACAAAAAGTCAATTACTTAAATTAAACAGAAAAATTATTTGACCCAACAAGGTTTGAACTTTCAATCGACCTTTTTTCCTTTTCGAGGCCAACCTGCTTCAAAAGATGATCACATTCCAATTTGAACGAGAAAACATTTTATCATCGCTGTGCATAACAAAAGATAAATAACCATATACAAATATAAAATGTTCAATTCTTTATTGTTGATGAAGTTAAAGCAGAAACAAACTTACAGATTTAATTGGAATTTCATTTCTGTCCTTTTCTTGTATGTACGCTTCTATTCTCTAGACGGATTATGTAACGTTAACGTTAAGTTTAGCAATATTTATGTTTCGTGTCTTCGTCAGCAAAACGTGAGCAAATAAGTTTAGCACCATATCATATTTGCCTTCTCTGAACTTCACTCTTTAATTTGATTTGTTAAAACAAAGCCAATAACTATTAATGGTGAGGATGAACAATAACTGAAACTATCGTATACATGTACATCATACATAAAATATACTTGAATTAGTTTGTGTCATGGACACTCTAGTCGTGTGAAATATGAAATATTCTGATACGTACCATTTTCATTTCCTTGTTTTTCCGATATGCCCATAGCTATATAACATAAATGAATACTTTAATTTAATGTCATTTTGGTTAAAAAATCGAAAGACATTCAATAACATTGACGAAATGTCTGTTTAAAGAGGTTAACCCTGGTAATTATTGTTAAAACAGAATCCTATCCTTTGGTTGACTATTTTGTGCAATTTGATCATCTGATATATATATATATATTCTTAAAAAAGTTTTATATCCTCTTTCATGTTGTACTTGTCATAATTTATTCTCTGTATTTTTGTATTGTTATTGTATTCTACTTTTTCTGCTGAAAACATATATACAGAGATCTGGTTACACTGTATACATTTACAAATATTGAAACAGTCGTATTTCGATAATATTTGAAAAGTACCAACCAGACTGATATTATATCATCTAATGAGGCTTATCAACAAATTCGTACTAACCATGTGCAAAATTACTGTTGCCACCGATGGGCAGGATCTTCTTATTCTTCCAGTGCACCTGCAGTTTGCACCACTTGTTAAAAAGCTCTTGCTTTAGTTTTCATTGTTGCACTTTGTATTTAAAACTTTTAAATGTCAATGTCAATACAAGTCTATGACCAATCATGGTTTATGAATTCGATGACGGCAAAGGATTGGATAAGAGTCCAGTTCCTATCTTCACTTTTGCGTGATGCCAAATAACTTGATATAACTTATAAAATTATTCTACAGAAGTAAAGTGAAAGGTGTCACGTGTGAAGTAGGATCTTCTAATAACCCTTTTGGAGCTACGATATTCATACTCAGTAAATGTGAGGTTCATGTAGCTCAGAACTAATTAAGTTTTCTATGTAGTGTTTGATGGCATTGTTTAGTTTTTCGTCGTATTATTTTTTTGGGGATTTTTTTGGGGTTTTTTTTCGCATGGCTATGTCAGTTTTAAGCGTTCTCTTTGTATCTTCTTTCTTTTCTTTGTCATTCATTCGCGCACATATTCATGTTTAAGAACCACTTGCACAATATCAGGAAAGAGACGGTTTTCAATTTAAAATACTTTGATTTTTTTTTCTCTGAGAATTTGTAAATTTTATTTTCAGAATAACAGTAAAGTTTAACATTTCTTTGTCTTTGTTTTTTTTTATATATATATTTCTTATCAGGCAGATGCGTTGTTTATTATAATGATATTTATGGAAACACATACCCAATAGGTGCTCCTTCAGTTGTGAAATTTGGTCTTCATACTCTAAGCCTCTGCATCGCCATTCTTCAATTTCTTCCAAATATTTTCGTTCTGTATCCTCGTCCATACAGCAAGTTCGTAGATCTTCAACCTCCGAAACAAATTCATTGTTCTTTTTATTAAAGGTCAACTGTAATCTACCTGCAATTGCTTTAAATTCGTCAAAATATTCTTTTAATTCTTGATCGCTGACCTCTGTGTTTCCTCTGTGAATGATCAGATTTCTTCTTCTTCGACATCTTTCAAGGTCATCACCTGTGTTTGTTTCATGAGGTTGTGGGTCCACTTGATGAGCCCATCCATTGGTTGGCGCTAGTGTATGACTGTGAATATTTCGCAGGATTGTATAAATCAGCGGAATATCAAAATTCTTGTAAGATCCTGTGTTTACCGCTTCATTAATTTTTGTCCAGTCTGCTGATTTTAGACGGTACGTTACATGAGGGTTTGTATTACAGCTGTAATCAATATTTTTAGGGTGTTCATAATATAACAAAACTTCCTGTAGGAATCTGGGTATCAGATTTTGTGCAGCGTGGCCAAGACGAGCATAGTGTGTCTTTGTTGATAAGCCAGAACCACCAGCTGAGGTCATGTTAAATATTTAACGTCATTTCTCCTAGAATGAAATGCATTACTAAACATAATGTATGACCGTTGATAACATAGTAGGAATTCAAATTAAAATATGTAACTGAAAAACTTTGGATTTTTATCAACAACAGATTCATGAGAATCTATTTCTTAATTAAGATTAATCTTATCTTCTTACAGGGGTATTAGCTGTTAAATTCATTTTCACAAATTCTCATATTAGATTTATAACATACTAAAACGTATGTCTAAATTATAAAAAGTCTAATGAACAATGTACGATGCATGGGGTCGATAATATGTATTAGCATTTCGTTTGACGTCATCTAATTAACTGAAGACTGTCGATGGTCGTATAATCCAATATAAACATGCATATAGAAATACATAGATAGAAAACATGTGCAAGTGGATTTTTCTATGTCTGTTTGATTTCATATTATAGGTTAAAATACATCTTGATCGTCGTTTTCACCTGTATAAGAATGAGTTTTTGTGGATCGAACAAGTCAGCCTTATGGTTTACCCTTGTTTCACTTTCAATTTTGACATCCTTTTCCTTATAATAGCTGAACACGCCAAATTTATGCGAAACCCATCTTTAGCTAAGGGATTAATTGAAGGTCACATTAATAAGGATTCAATGGGGTCGAATTATTCACTTGCAAGCGAATAATTCCTCAGCGATGTTTTTTGTCTTATTTTGACAAAATTGAACCAAACTGGCTGCTAAAAACGAATTATTATTTCACTGGTTCACTTTCATTAATGATTGAACAACAACAAAAATCATATTTATTTATGTTATATCTCTTAGCTATTTGTCCTGAAAATGCATGATATATTTGGCACTGGATATGCAGCAAGCAAAAACCAATCAATTGATATATTGATCATAAATATTAATGAATTAATTAACATCTAAAGTTTCTATTTATTTTACAAACCATTTAGAATGTGAAAAACAAACTATTGCATTTAGGAGTAATAGTGTATGTCAAGCATGGTAAATTCTTGCACATCAAAAGTTGTGACTATGTATGTTATATTTCGCGTTGGGTGTCAAGCAGCCAACAATACGCCAATAACTAGACTGCACAACAAAGTTGCACGTGATATTCAGTATGCATTCGGGGTCATATCTAAAACAACTTGTTTTATCCTTAGAACTTTTTTTGAAATTTGAAGTAGATTTAATATTCTATTTTGAATCCTTTTTTCAAATAGTAAAAGCCAAACAAAATCAGAGTTATTATTTGATTATATTTTTTTTGGCTGTATGAATCATGTGAAATCTTCTATTAAATACAGCAACCTATATTTAGTGTGTTGGCGGCACGATTTCTTATCAATATATTGGTTTCAATCCATTAAGTACTTTAAGCTTGATTTTAAGTAGCTGCAAGCAATACGATATAATAAATTACTTATTTTGTTTTCAAACACACAAATTTTATATTTAAGAGCTTTTCCTGTATTCTTATCTTCTTTATATCTCAGGGGCATCTTCCTATTTACACGGTTATAGGACGTGATGCTGGAATAGGTCACATTTTCCAGTTTTAACATATGTGATCATGATTAAGTGGGGAAAACTATCAAAAATGTATAAGGTTAATAAATTTCCCCTTACTTGTTACATGTGTCAAAAGCGGGATTGTTTCAATAAATCATTATTGCCATGGCTATAAAAACATATGAACAACTGAAAAAAAATCATGATTTTCTTTTTGTTTAAACTTGTTACGCCAGTAGCAATCTATGAATATGGGAAAAGGTTACATCTTTATCTACGCATTATATGGAAAGGTATACATTTTTAAAATCTAAATTATATGAAATGATTGGGTGATAGAACCCTTGCGGCACGCCCTATCAATTAAGTATTGAAGTGTAAACCCCCTTCCCCTTTCCGAGCTTTATTTATGTTCCTTTATGTTACTCTACTGATCTAGATCAATAAAAAACACTAGAGAATTTAAAAAGCCTGTGTCGTTCACCTAAGTATACATGTATCTTCAATAATGGACACTCTCTAACATTGTTGACTAGAATAGAATTCATGACAAAAATGTCTTTTTTGTTGGTCTTGTATAATTTATTTGACTGATTTCTTAGTATATGTTTTTCTGTTTACGGTTTCTCTCGTTTTTCTTTGGGTTTTGCGCAAAATATAAAAAAGGGTAAACAATTGTCATTCATTGACATTCACACCTATCAACATCACCAAAGTCTACTAACGGTTCTTTAAAATTTGATTTATTTGTAGATCTTGTCTTGCTATTCATTTTTGCTATGAAAAGTGTCACCATTCTTATAGTTTTCAATATAATAGGCAAATATGCAGAAATTGTAAAAACCGTCATTAAAGGGCCATAACTCCAATGAGGAGCCGATTGACGATTTTTGTCATTAGACTTCTATGCAGATCTTGTGTAGCTGATCATGTTTACTTCTTTAAGTTATTATCTATCTATTAAAGGCCGTATTAACTACGGGATATAAAACTAGAGGCTCTCAAGAGCCTGTGTCGCTAACCTGATTCTACTTTGGTTTTGGAAATCATGTAAAAATAGAATAAAATAATAACAGATACCCTCCTAATGATTGAGTCCAATTTTGGTTTAATATTGGCCCTGTATTTTAATAAAAAAAAATCCTGGTGGTCATCTTGAACAGTAAATCGGCAACAAAGTAGCAACACTTTATCAGCACCTCATAAGGAACATCCATGCCATGTTTGGTTTCATTCCATTCAGTGCACCTCTAGAAGAAGCATTTGTATGTATTTCGAATAGGGTCTTATGTTAAACTAAGTCACCTGCTGGCGGCCATCTTGCATGATGGTTCGGCTACAAAGTAACAGCACTTGGTCAACATCTCATTAGAAAAATTCATGCCATGTTAGGTTTCATTCTATTCAGTGGTTCTCTAGAAGAAAACATTTGTATGTATATCCCACAGGGTCCTATGTTAAACTTATTACCCCTGTTGCAGCCATCTTGGATGACAACTCAGCTACAAAATAACAACACTTGGTTAGCACCTCAAAAGAAACATTCATACCATGTTTGGTTTCAATCCATTAAGCGGTTTTCTAGAAAAAATCATTTGTAAATATTTCCCGTAGGGTCCTTTGATTAAACTAAGTCCCCCGTTGGCAGCCATCATGGTTGATGGACTTGTTACAAAGAACAACACTTGGACAGCACCTCATATGGAACATTCATGCCGTGTTTGGTTTCATTCCATTCAGTTACTTTCGTATTTATTTCACATAGGGTCCTTTGTTAAACTAAGTTCCCCGCAGCCATTTTGGGGGATTGATTGGCTACAAAGTAACAACACTTGGTCAGCACCTCATAAGGAATATTCACGCCATGTAAGGTTCCATTCCATTCAGTGGTTCTCTAAAAGAAGATATTTCTTTGTATTTCCCATAGGATCCTTTGTTAAATTGCGTCCCTCTCTGGCGGCCATCTTGGACGATTGATCTGCTTCCAAGTAACAACACTTATTATAACCTAATAAGGAACATTCATGCCATGTTTGGTTTCATTCCATTCAGTGTTTCTCTAAAAGAAGACATTTGTATGTATTGTCCATATGGTCCTATGTTAAACGAAGTTCCCTGCTGGCGGCCATCTTGGATAATGGATCGGCTTCAAAGTGACAACACTTGGCCAGCACCTCATAAGGAACATTCCTGCCATGTTTGGTTTCATTCCATTTAGTGGTTTTCTAGAAGAGGTTCAAAATGTAAAACGTTAACGACGACGACGAACGACGACGACGGACGACAACGACGGACGACGGACGACGATGACGACGACAGAGACGGACATCAAGTAATAAGAAAAGCTCACTTGGCCCTTCGGGCCAGGTGAGCTAAAAATATAATATGTTTTTTTTTTGTTCAATCATTAATAAATAAAAAAAAGATGCTTTTAGCATCCATGGCAGTTTGGTTCAACTTTTTCAAAATAAGCTAAAAAAAAACATCGCTAGTGAACTATTCACTTGTAAGTTAATAATTTGACCTCATTAAATCCGTATTCATGTGACCTTCAATTTAACCCCTTACCTAGAGATCGGTTACGTATGAACTAGGCGTGTTCAACAATTAAAGGAAAACATTTGGTTGACTGATTCGATCAACAAAAACGCATTCCTATACAGGTAAAAACGATGACTAACATATTTTTTAACCTGTAATTCCAAATTAAACATCAAATTGCACGTGGTCGCTATCTATCTATATCTATATTTATGTTGATATTGGGTTATATTTCCGCCGGCAGTCTTCGGATGTCGACTTGATTGTTAATAAGATGATGTCTAGATTAAAATACACACAAAATGCTGATACATATTATCGAGTCTATGCATCGTAAATTGTTTATTTTACACTTTTTGTAATTTGGTAATACGTTTTAGTGTGTTATTAATCAAATATGAGAATTCGAGTCAAATTGGTGAACATGAATTTGACAGCTTAATATGACCCTTTAAGATGTAAGGATAAAACGCAAAAAAAAAAGGGTTAAATCATTTAAGTTTCTATCTATCTATTATATTTTTTTCGGATATCTTAAGCAAAAACACCCCTAAAAAATGGTAAAAAAACGTACTTAAAGGACAATAACTCCAATAAGGGATCCTTAGACAATTTAAACAATTCGATCTTATGTGTAGATCTTGTCTTGTTGATCATGTCTGCTTATTTAAATTTCTTTCTATCAGTTATAGTTTTTCAGATATTAAGGGAATAAGCAAATATATGATAAAATCGTCTTTCAAGGGCAATTATTCCAATAAGACGTCGTCAAACGATTTCGAACATGTTGAATTATTTGTAGATCTTGTATTGCTGATCATTGTTGTGCTTGAAGTTTCTCCCTATCTATTATAATTTTCAAGACAATAGACAAAAATGGTTAAAAAAATGATAAAATTCGTAATTTTAGGGCAATAAGTCCTACTAGAAGTCGTGTGACAGTTTTGGTGCAAACGGACAAAAGGGAGATCTTATCATTCTGAACATGTATGTTCCTAACAGATTTTCTCTTTTTACAGCGGTTTTCAAGGTAATAGACAAAACTTGCATTTAACCACTATGTTCTATTTTCAGCCATATCGGCCATGTTGGTGAGCAGCCGGGAATTGGACACATTTTCTAAACTAAATACCCTTTTGATGATTGTGGCCAATTTTGGTTAAATTTGACCCAGTAGTTTATGAGAGGATTGTTGTTAGCGTTAACGGCGACGATGGATGACAGACGCCAAATGATAACAAAACCTCACTTGGCACGTGAGCTTTAAAAAAAGGGAGCGGCCGATTGAAATATAAAAAAAAAATGACCTGCATATTTTAATGAGCTTGTCCCAAGTCAGACGTTGTATGTCATAACTTAGTGTTTTTCTGCGTTTTTTATTTAATTTTTTTGGTGGTTAATGGTAGAATTTAGACTTTTTTTTTGTTAATTCTAATCACAATTACGATATTGTACAATAGAAAATTATTATTTGTTGAAAAATATGATAACCTCTGCACGTCTTTTGCATCGATAGGTACATTTTTGTACTTGGGGACAGGACATTTTTTTAAGGCTGTCCCGTATTTCTAGTATATTTGTGCCAATATATCACAGAAAAATGCGAAAATAATCGAAACTAAAAAGAAGTTTAAAAATAAACTGTTATCACGGAGATATGTCTCGCCTTTTTGTAATTTTGATAATGCAAATGTTGAAATTAAAATTATTTTAGCAATACTTTAACATGTAAGTTATGCAAATATTCAAAGTCGATGAACCATGACTGAAGGTACATGGCTAAACAATCTCCATGGAATGAGATGTGCCAATGCTTATACAACTGCATACCAAATACCATTGACTTATTATAAGTCGTTCCCTTTAAACAAACCTAAACACAAACATTAACTTGTAAACTATGTAAAAGTTTCAAAGTCAATGAACCATGATCAGGGGTGGGGCTATATAATCTCCATGGAAACTATACTTGCAAATGCCAATAAATTTGCATACCAAATATCATTGACTTAACATTCGCAGTTCATCTTAAACTGATCTAATCACAAACTAATACATGTAAACTAAGCAAAAGTTTTAAAGTAAATAGACCATGACTGAGGGGGCGGGGCCACATATTCTCCATGGAAATGAGATGTGCTAATGCTTATACAACTGAACACCAATTAGCACTGGCCTACCACTAAGGTTCCCCTTGAACTGACCTAATCACAAACTAATACATGTTAACTTAGCAAAATTTTCAGTCTATAGACCATGACTAAGGGGGCGGAGCCAAATAATCTCCATGGAAATGAGATATGCCAATGCTTATACAATTGCATATCAAATATCATTGACCTACCACTAGTGGTTCCCCATAAATTGACCTAATCACAAACTAATACATGTAAACTATGAAAAGTTTCGAAGTCAATAGACCTTGACTGAGGTGGCGGGGCCAAATAATCTCCATGGTAATGAGATGTGCCAATGCTAATACAACTGCAAACCAAATATCATTGACCTACCACTAGTGGTTCACCATGAACTAGACCTAATCACAAACTAATGCATTGTTGATGCCGCCGCCGACGCCGGAAACAGCATACCTATGTCTTGCGTTTTGACTCCGTCAAGGCGAGACAAAAATATGAATTTTAGAAAAAAAAAAAGGGGAGGGGCTAAAAAAATTGTCATGTTCCCAAGTTCCTATTGCCGTTTTGGTTATTTTTGTCATTGGATTAATGCCATTGTCGTAAACCCAATGTATCATTTAATTCACATTTATCTAATTTAGTATTGTTAAGGAATGTATATATGTTGATCTAAATTGAGATGTTTTGGAGTTTTAACACTGTTCAGATTGTTGTTTAATTGATGTAAATAAAGGAGATAGCAGTATTAATTGTATTTGAATAATGATGGATTTCAATGAGTGAATTGATGATCGAATTCATATTGAGTTGAAAAAGAAGTTTGATTAAACGGATATTTGCGACCATCAACTCACCACAGAAAGATTACACAACATAAAATTGGGCCATATATATTAAAACAGAAAACTTGTGAAAACGAAAGTGAAACTAAATATCAAAACAAATACGTGTCGTTCTACTTTTTCTTTTAAAGTGTATTTAAGTATGAACTTGACGTATTTATATTGAAGAAATAATTATACGTACGAATTGCTTATTTAACAGTTCCTGTTTACGGCGACAGTATACACAGTTTTAATATCAATTTGTCTTCCAATGAGAAATATCGATCGCTTCAAATCTCGTAATCACGTGGTTTGGAGTTGATTAACTTTGCCAAATTATCATGTCTTACATAGTGATACTAGGTTCATTAAATTCATACATGTTACATGAACTTGAATTAAATCATGGTTCCTCGTATGACTGTTAAGAAATATTATGATATCAAGTAACGAAATTCACCTCTGTAAAGTATTAAAACAAAAATATTCTGTTGGTCCGTTACATGACATCCTTTTTAACGGTCTGTGAGGATTTTAGTGCATATCCATTTTATTTTCAAAAAATCTTGAATTGAGCTGAGTATTGGTTTACATCATCGTCCAAAACATGCATGCCTCTATTAGCTGCACCTTTAGCTAAGTTGTTATACGAGTGGCTAATGAGCTAGGGGTCCCAGGATCCAATCCCGGCTCGTATACACAATACAGTGGTAATTGTGGAGAGGAAATCATGCTCTTCTGTTATAGTCTAAATAGACGGGTATGTAATGTAGGTCCTTATAAGTGGACCATTCATGTATGGTATGATCGAGTTTTGTTCATTGTGGAAGGTCGAACGGCTACTTAATTAATTACATCCACGTCATTTGAACTCTCGTGGATACATTAATTTTCAAGCTGTCTCATTGTTAAGTCTTTTTAATCTTCTTAAACATAAAATGCATTTGAATTTTATTTATAAAGGTCATTATAAATTATCCATGCAAATGATCGAGGTCAAGGATAGATGAACCTTGTAAGACGGACACCCACTTCATTTGAACTTTGGTGGATAGTCGTCTTATTGGCACTCATACTACGTCTCCTTATTCTTATAATGTTCACTTTACAAGCATTCCGTATATCAAAAACTGTTGACTTATTTACGATGGTACTTGAGAAACAGACCTAATCATGAAAACTACATGTTGTCCAAAGAACCACGAAAATAAGCTAAACTTACATTCATTATTGTCTATGTCTGTCCTTAATTACAGTTGCATACTAAATGAGAGATCGTCCTCTTTGAATTTCTACGTGTGGACATAATTCTGCATTAATATTTTATCTTTACTTTGTTCCTCTTCTGAGTTCATTTGTTTACCGTAATATTATAGTATGGAGAGTCTGTCTGCGGACCGGTATGTATTTAGTGAATGTCACGCTCCGTCGGACGTAAAAAGGCAAAAAGGAACCTTTCGTAGATTTCGAAAAAAAAATCGCTACAGAAGGTTACCTTTCGCGTATCTACCAATCCTCCCCGTTTCTCGTAGTATTTAAAGTTTATAAGCCTTTTATCAAACTTAAAAACCTGGAAAACTGCTTTAAACATACTAGTTGACTACATCGACATGAAAAGCATGTAGTTTTGTGTAGACCATCGCACTTCACCGTAACCACCATCGCACTTCGGCGTAGCTATCAAGAAGATAGCGTCACAATGCCACCATCGCACTTCAGCGTGACCATCGCGGTTCGGAGTACCATCTTAATTGGTTCAGAGTCCTACATATATATTCTGATTGGTTGCTTTATGATGCGGCTGAGATACAGCAACAGCTATTGGCTTAAATGGGATAAAGAATTACAGATTTTTTTCGTCTCAGGATAAGACATCAAATGCCGGAAAATTAACTATGTGTATTTCAGTTTCGATCAGCTGTCATTAATTCATGTCCGTTTTTTATGCATATATTGCACACTGAAATTCAATATTGAAATATCAATTATTAATACGTGTTTATTTGCTTTTTTTAATCTGCAATATGCACGATTTGTTTTGCTAAACAATGTTTTGCGCCTGTCCCAAGTCAGGAGCCTCTAGCCTTTGTTAGTCTTGTATTATTTTTAATTTTAGTTTCTTGTGTACAATTTGGAGTTTAGTATGGCGTTCATTATCACTGAACTAGTATATATATTTGTTTAGGGGCCAGCTGAAGGACGCCTCCGGGTGCGGGAATTTCTTGCTGCATTGAAGACCTGTTAGTGAACTTCTGCTCTTGTCTGTTTATGGTCGGGTTGTTGTCTCTTTGACACATTCCCCATTTCCATTCTCAATTTTATTCTATATATATAATGTTAACAAAAATGCATTATCTGTATTTTATAACTTCTGCCAATCTAGGCACACATCCAGAGTCGTGTCTATTTGTAAATATTTTAATTTTCAACAAGTAAAGTGAACAAAATTTAAAAAGCATGGGTGTTTAAGGTTCATCATAACAAATGGACAAAAATGGCTGTATTTCTACCTCAAAAACTACTCTGAGTACAGACTTACCTGTCCAGTTGGAAAAGTTTTAATGCCTGGCATCCACTAGATATATAAAAGTTAAATGCATTTTGTGTTTCAGAAAGATAAAATCTTTTTTGGATTTTGATGGCCATTTTTTTTTTCGTTTCTGCAGAAGGTGTAAAAATAAACTAAGTTGGGATAAAACTTTGAGATGCTCCTTCTCAGGTAACAACTTTATTGTATTGTATTGATTGTCCTTGATTGACATGGACAATAGATAGACAATAGGTATCTACGTATATGTAAGAGAATGATAATCCCTTTCTTCATGAATAAGTACGAGCGTTAGCGAGTACTTATCATGAAGTAAGGGATTATCATTCTCTTACAAACTTAGAATATTGTAAAGTGCTCAAGGCTCAAACGATCTATTCAAGAATTAGTTTCATTGTCAGTGCAATGTTTATAATTGATGCATGACTTCCTTTTTCGGCATGTCATTTATGGATTAGTTTTAGTGATGTGAGGACTTTCTTATCATTTGGGAAATTTTTTTTTATAATGCGTTATAGATATTAGGTGACACAACAGTAGAAAGAAAAGGTAGGAATTGTATGTTTCCTGATTGTGAGTATGAATGTAAATCATGTAACATTTTAGTGAAGAATTATCCTTTTTTTATTTACAGTTTAAATCAATTAATACATTTGAGTTACAACTAAATTTTATTTCACAGCCAATAATTTGGTCCGGCTTTTTACATCAAATACTGTTTCATTATGTCAGGGATATGTTCAAAAATAATGCCCTTAAAAGTTTTTAATATGTTCAAAATTAAATTCCTGTTTTTTTTTTTATCGGAATACATGTATTGGAAATAACTATTCTCCCCAACCGCTGATCAAGTAATCAAAGTTTTGGAAAGCTAAAGATTTAGATCATTTTTTTCTGAAAGATTTTTTTCTTTTTGTTTTGCATTGATTTGGTATTGTTTAATTTTATAGTAATTTGAAGTTAATAATATTTTCATAATAACATTGACGGTACCAATTTTACTGCACCAGTAAACTTCAACATATTTTGAGATTTTTGTTTGTTTCACAATTCAACTTTTAGTCAGTTTCAATCACTGTGTGATATAAAATCCTTTCAATCTGATAAATGTGCTTCGGGGCAGTTGTAACTCATTTATAGAAACTCTTTGTTTTGAACTGTAAATAGACCCAAATAATAGGATAATCCCTTACTAAGAACATGATTTACATTCATTCTTCACAATTAAGAGGCATCCAATTCTGCAATTTCATTGGTCGAGAGTACTTTGCTATATTCTAAACATCTATAGGTGAGTTAAAGGGTTTAACTGAGTGGACAGTATCAAAGCAATTCAGGTGTTTGTTTATTTTTACACCTTCTGCAGAAAGGAAAAAAAATGCCCATCAAAATCCAAAAGTGATTATATCTTTCTGAAACAAAAAATGCATTTAACTTTTATATATCTAGTGGATGCCAGACCTTAAAACTTTACAAATTGGACAGGTAAGTCTGTACACAGAGTAGTTTTTGAGGTATAAATACAGCCATTTTTGTCCATTTGTTATGATGAACCTTAACACACACTCTTAAAGTAGAAACTAAATATTCATTGCTATTTACAATTATTGTTATTGTCTTCATCACTCGAAATCATGTTACTCTTAATCAACATACCTTAACATTCATATATCTAAAAAAATTATAATTACAGAACTAGCAATCAAAATCGCAAGTCAATGACCAGCTGAAAGAACTAGAAAACCACACTCCACAAAAACACATTGACAATTAAATACTGAACAGTCAGTTTAAAATTTCAGAAAAGTTCATCTAAATATATATATATACAAAAATTGATATTCCAAGTCTAAGACATCCATTTTATATCAATCAATATCAAAATATACCACATTTCCAATACTTTATCAATGACCACATGCACACATATTACCTTAAATTAGGATATAGAGCGAAGCAGTCCACAGTTTTATAGAAACCTCAAACTTGTACGACTTTGCCCCCAGCAGAGCTATAGAAAAACAGTACATTAACGGGTGTTACACGGACACTTTAAAGATGATACACGGACACGTTTTAGTTGTTACACGGACACTTTTTATGAATAGAATCACTCGTGCATGATCAGTGAGTTCATGGGCACTTTAAATTTCAATTAGATTTGAACTTTTTGTTTCACCGACATATTTCCTGTCTTTCTTATTAAAATATTTACGTTGGCATCAAATAACTATATTTTTTTCAAACAATTCCAGTATCTTACTATTCATATCAGTACACTACGGAATTGACCATTTAACTTCAAAAGGGGGGGGGGGGGTTATGTTTTTTTTTACCAAAAAAAAAATATTCTGATCCCCAATTTTATGAGAAAAAATATAGTGTGGTCAAGCAGATGACAAAATAATGTTCTGATTCCTGATTTTCCGAAATCAGTATGTTATAGTGCTAATTTCGAAAAAAATATTTGGTGATAGCGTTGAAAAAGTAAATAATTTTCTTACTCAGAAAAAAAACCATACCCCCTTTTAAAGATAAATGGTCGGTCCGTAAATGTATTTTTTCAAAATATGGACATGAATAGTATTCTGGACAATGCTGAAAGTAAAGAAATGCTGGTACCGACGTTTATATTTCAATATAAAAGACAGGAAATATATATAACAAAATCAAATCTAATCAAAAGATAAAATTCCTATCAACTTACCAATGCACGATTGATCCTATAAATAAAAAGTGTCCGTGTAATACATGTTC